AAGGATGCAACTGGCTCAGTTGGCTGCAGGCGCTCGCGTTCTTCACACAAAATAATTTAGTGGACATGTCAGGAAGTGGCCTCTGCTACTTGGACTCACGCGAGGCGAAGAGAGACAGATGGCTAGAAGCTGTGTGTCTGCCTGCGGGTCTGACGAACTCTCCAGTCTTCCTTCCATCCGCCCATTCTTCCATTAACCCTACTCCCTAGTTCTGTGCTGAGGAAGTGCAGGTGCCAGTACTAACAGCGTCTGAAAAAACTCGGAGGGCGTCCCATTAGGGTTAAAGGGAGTAGTGTCAACCAGGGTGAACCCTAAACATAAACAACTTTTAATGACTCTCATCCCCTGGTATTTTTACCTTCAAGGAGTTCTTTACTAAACAACACGACTCAGCTGAGGCTCCTTATAATAATTTCCATTTTAGTGAGTAGGGGATACTACAAAACTTACTACTACTATACTTTCGGTAACAGATTCCCTTCTATCATTTCTTCGTCTTCATACTGTAAGTATTTTGTCATTAGAAATTACCTTATGGATTAATGATTATTTTCATTTCACAAGAGATGATTGATTCATTCGAATCTTAGTCTGTAGTTTGCTGGAAGATAGGTAATAATATTTCAATCTTGATTTGTCTAAGTTCATTACCTTATAACTTTTTATAGAAATCATTTCTTTCACCACCAAGGCAGCTTTCAGTGCCCTTAGGAACCTAATAGTAAAACAAACAAAATGAAATGCACAAGAGGAATGTGGTAGAGAAATGTCATGCCTAGAATTCTTACCTGTTTGTTTCCTTCTATTTAAACCCATTGAAGATCGCACAGGCTGAAATTTGGGGGGTGGGAGGGGGAGGTTCCAGGACATGTAAATCTATTCCAATTCAATTTCTTAATTAAGATACACTTCTTTTTGGCATCTAAAAATTAATTAAAACTCTAAATGTCATTAATCATCAATGCAGCAGAATGTTGGTGGAACAGCTGATATGTGTTGAGAATCACAAGGGGTTGCATAGCATAATATTCATAGTTAGGAAGAGTGAAGTGCAAGTATGCAACAGTGTGGTTTTAACTGATACCAACTATGACTTTATTCTCTGGCACCTCTCATGCCATGGATGAACAGGCTGTTTATTTTAGCTTAGCTGCAATACAACAGGCCACATGCATGGAAGAATAGGTCAGGTGTTACTATAAGATGAGATTTCTCAAATGTCACATAACAGCAGGACTTCAATGACAAGTCAAGTGGAATTCTTACAAAGAATTTTATGTAAAAAATTTAAATGTAGATTTGGCATGGAAGAACCTTTGAAACACCTTTGAAATTCAGGTTGTCTTGGGATATGTGTTTGCTCTTTCTCGTAAAAGGTATACACATTGTCTTTTTAAACATTGTGCTGTAAGGATTATTACACATTTGTACATGCCCCAGCAGGTGGCAGCTAACTAGAATAAGATTCATTTTCACTGGGAGAATAAAAAAATAACATTGCTTCTCAAGTAATAGTGCCCAAGAATAAGAGGTCATTAGTGTCAGTAAATATAAAAATATAGCGAAAGATGAAGCTAATGGCTTTTTGTTGTTGTTGGAACAAGCTTTACATGGACATGATATGCATTTTGTTCTTCACTAATTTATTATAGGCTTGATATCTCTCATGTCAGCATTCTGGTGTTCCTTTTTTTTTTTTTTTTGAGGCTTACTTTTAGACATAGCTCCTCTCTATGTGTGCATATGTGTGTGCATCTGCAGTTTGTCATCTCTGCTTTGACCTTGGAACCCACAGAGCTTTGGCTCCTAGAAATAAAGGACGACATATGGTTAAAATAAGAAAAAAGGCAAATGAAACCATGGAATAAGGGGTGTAAATATCACTAATACTAAACATGTCTGATTGCCTGATGCAGAATAGTGGTGCTTTTTTTTCTTTTGAGAATGGAGCAAATTACAAAACCAACACAATTTTTTTTAAAAAGAGCTAAATATGGTCAATGAATACTATATATGATTTTATCAATCCTTTATATACTCCAGAACTATGATGTATGATATTGCTATTGGGGAGAAACTTGTAATAATTTCAAAATTACCTTACTTATAGGTTCTCTTCTAGACCACTGAATCATTCTGCTGTAGTATTGGGGAGGTAATTTTAGGATTTTTGTTGTTGTCGATTTTGTTCCGGGAGTAAGTGATATTTAATAAGAAAGAGTGCAAATTAATTTGAGTACCATTGTAACAGTTGGAAATCTGGTGGGAGGGAATTCTAAAGAAGTAACTAATTGTACATTTTAGAAATGTCTTTAACCAATGGACATGTTATTCAGTATCCTTAATTCTTGGTGGTCTTTCAGGTAATGATTTTTGTATTGGGAAACAAGTAATTTAGTGCTCATGAGGGAATACACAGTTAATGTGAATGGCTTTTGTAGTAGTATGCCCTGGAATGGTATGATTATTAGTACATCCTCTGTATGCCAAACGATCCCAATATGTCACACTGAAATACACACACAACAGAGTTGAAAAAATAGTCCTCTTGACAATGTGAAGAATGCCATAATTTAAATTCTGTGTAGTAGAAATATGCACACTGTCACTTCAAATGGTACATTACCCATTCAATGTACTACTTCCAATGCACTGCTTTCAATGCACTACTCTAGAATAAATCTATGTCTGGAGCGCTGTCCACGGTCCTGAAGAAAGGTCGTCTCCTGTCTTGTAGAAGTTCAATTGGACAGGTGGAGTTGCTGTCTGTGGTGTTGAAGCCTTTCCGATTAGTAAAATGGATATCGATGAACCTAATATAATATATGCGCAAAATTAGTTCTTTGGGGATTAATTAATAGCAAAAAATTATGATAGACTTTTTATTGTTTAATTTACTTGTAAGAACTTCACTTCATGAATCTGGAAGCTTGATCTTTCACTTTTCCAAGACCTCCAAAAAATAATTCCACAAAAAGTAAATAGTTTAGTATGCTAGTTTTAAGTAGAGAAGTTACAACTGTAATGTCAAATGCCATTATGTTAACAGAATACATGAACTAGGAGTTATGGTACATTTTGTTTTCGCAGGTTCCATTAAATTCCAACTATACTGAAGAATTGCAGTATTTTGATTAGTCACAATAGAACACACTATTTTCAGGTAATAGATAATTATATTGACAGATGGAAAGAAAGGACATTTATTCTTGCCCTGGCAATCATTATCATCTCTGCTATGATTAAAAAGAAAAAAGAATAGGATGGAATAAATGAGACAGCAAATACAAGACAGAACATGTTGGGCTGTACATATCTTACAAGAGATATTTTAAACACGGACTGAAGGAGTCGCTAGATACCCTTGGTTTTAGCACAAGGTGTTCCTTTTCAAGTGCTCAAATAGTCAAATTATTTGATTGAATTGCCTGCTACACTGCAGAACTAGCCATTCATGATTCTTATTTTTGACATTGCGGTTATGCTTCTATCTTTTTTTAAAAAAATCAATGCCCACTTAACACCTTTGTAAAATATAGGTTTATTTTCAAATAAGCATTTTAAAATATTTTAAAAATATGTAGATTGAAGTAATTGTTATGATAGAATGAAAACATTACATTGTTTTCTTGCTATGTGGAGGAAATAATAGTCATATCATTCCTTATTTAAAAATTAGGTATTCTTCAAATAAGACATGATTTTTTATTTTTTTATAAGGTTTAACCCATGCCCCCTCTATTAGTTGGTTGTGAAAAAGAGATCAGTTTTAAGATATAGATCCAGCAGTTTGCCTTTTGTACTTCTTGATCACTTAAAAATGTTAATATAAAGCAACATATTTATTACTATCCATCTTGATTTCATTTACTATGTAAAATATTAGGATTGGATCTTTTATTTATATGCCTAGAGGAAAGCAATTTCAACAACAAAATGTATTTTTATTTTCATAAACATATATATATTTTTCTTTGAATAATTTACTAGTTGTGAAATCCAAGACAGTCACTGCCTGGGGACTGTAAATATTCTGACTTGAACACTAGAAAATGATAAGGCATTTTAAGATGAAACTGTGACAATGTTGCTTAAGCTATGATCCCATATTCTGCCTCCTAAAGAAAAACATATAAAAAAAAAAAGAGAGAATAATTTGGGCATAAGTGATTGAAACCTTTGGAGTTTGGTGCACCAATTCAAACATTATTGTCTTTTTATGTACGTACAATTATTTTAGATGAGATGAATCGGTGGGAAAATATTCTTTAATTCAACATTTTTTCTCCTAAAGAGACACTTGAAGAAATCTATTTTTATTCCTGGATAGTAATCAAGGAGTGTCCCACTCAAGTTTTAAATGACTATCTTCACCTCTCCAATTGCTCTCCAATCTATATTCATTCCTGGATAAAATATAAAAAGTATAACTAAGACTCTTTTTTAACCTAAACACAAGTTCTATTTGCAGTAAATTCCTTCATCTTAGAGCACTTCCTTTTTTCAACTCCTTGGCAAAGTCACTTTGACTTAGATTGTCATTTATTAAAATTTGTCAGTTGATTGTAAGAAGTCCGTTTGTATATACCAATCACCATCTTGGCAAAGAGTTTTATTGAAAATAAAAGCACTTCCCCCAAGTAAATACATCTGACTTCTTTCTTACAACTCAAGGCAAGCGATCAGATCGGTTGCATAATAGATATTGGGAAGCTCACTGGCAGGGAGCCTTAAGAGGCAAGCAGCTATCTCAATTTTTCTCACTTAATCTTGGCTTCACGTCAGAAGCTGTGCAGCAGTGCAGTAGAATAGGGCCTGGCAAAACCTTTGCGAGCAAAGCTCCTTTTGTGCTGGGACTGTGGCTTGCTACCGACACTTCGGCCGTTTGCAAGGCTGGATTTCCTATTGATTTTTCTGCTCTTTTGCTTCCCCAGGCTCGCGCAGCCGGACATTGTGGGTGTGCATGCTGGATTTCTCCCGGATGCTCCCCGACTAACATGGATGTCCCACCATCCCTTGCAGTGGAAGGTTGCTCCTTGGCGCAGTGAGCGAAGAACATGCAGCGATTGCTAATGGGTTTGAGAAGCGGAGACTCCTTCCTCTCTCTGTGACCATGCCGTGATCGTGCCTGCGGCCACCACTCCACACATCCTCATTCCTACCCGAACCGGGAGCCTAACGCTAGATCCGGGAAGTGGGTGCCGCGCTTGTGGACACAGAAACACCATGAAGATTATTTCCCTGATTCTAAGTAATCCAGTCTTCAGACGCACCATTAAACTCCTGCTCTGCTTACTGTGGATTGGATATTCTCAAGGAACCACACATGTATTAAGATTTGGTAAGATTCCCCATCTCTCTCCATTGCCTGGTATCTGGCTCCCAGTTAGCCGATGTAAACAGGCGGGCTCGCTCTGTCCTGCGGGTGGGGTTCAATGCATCCTGACCTGTTCTCTGCTACGTCGCCTCCTAGGGTTTTAAAGAACCCCCTTGTACCTTTTATTTCATTTCTTTTTTTTTTTTTTTCTTTAAAAAAATTTTAGCCGCAGGAGGATGAAATGAGTGCCAGTGGTCGCTGCATTACCTCCCCATAGTAGCCTGCCATATAGCTGCTAGTGACGCTGAGGGAACTGCACCGCCTTGGTGCCCGTCTCCCCGGGAGCCTTCCGGCCTTGGCGGGCAGCGAGGTCCGCACCAACAAGGGCGCTGGGGCTACGCGCCTCTCAGCTTGCAGGGCGGATGAGTTAATACCTACTAACTCTTTGGCGAGTTGACGTCCGCGCGCTTCCGCCTGGGACCCGGAAAGGTCCGCAAGTGAAAGGCGCTAACCCTTTGATTTATTTTGTCATTACACTTTTCAGTTAATTTCACCGCTTTTCTGGTTCCTGGTGCTATACAGAGACGAGAGTTTTTAACAATATTGTTGTAAGGGTGAAGGCTCTACTTAAGCAAGGGGAGGCTGCTGCTTAATTGAAGTGAAGTAGCGTCCTAAGAAAGGGTTTTTATTTGTTTTAAACTTGTGAGTCCTCCTCTCACAGCTTTTTCGTTGCCTGTCTAAGACTAATGAATGATTAACAGCCTTGATTGAAGAGGAGGGTGGTTGTGTATGAGAGTCCAAGTCTGCATCTTTATTTCACTGTGGCATGATAACAATATATTAGGGGAACCTATTGCTTTCCTAAAGAATCAGGGTTTCTTTAGAACCAGAAGGAAAATCTAAACGTGGGACTCTAGTGGAAACACTGGTCCAAAGGTTTTCTTGGAGGAAATGAAGCGTGGGCAATGCTCAGTCTCTCTTGATGGCCAACGGAGTTTTAGTAGGAGCAGAACTAGTCAAGGAAAGTTCCCTTAAGTAGATAAGAGTGAGAGAGAAGAATGCCAAGCTGGTAAATGCTTCCACTGTGGGCTCCTCCTTTGACAGTTCAAGTGGATTTAGACCAAAGAGTGCAGGAAACTGTATAATCCTGAGTATGTGTCTTTGAGATAAAAGCAGATACATTAAGTCACTCAGTCAAATTTAGATTGAAGAGTAATTGCCTGCATTTCCTATTATGTCAACAGCTTCTCTTTCCTTTTCCCCATGTGCTTTTTCTAGAATGATAAAATTTTTCATCTTTCTCAGGTTTTGTGGAACCAGGGTTAGGAATGCTTTTCACATATTAAGAAAAGGGACTCTACCTTCCCTTTCTCTCACCTAACACAGAGACACATGGAGTCCAGAAAGCTTGTAATGACAAAAAAGACAATGGGTTATAACTGGATTCCTATTGTAGTTTTCCTGCTTTCTTCATGCCTTTAGATGGTACTTAAGCACGTTGCTCTTAGCAACAGGCGTCCACAGGAATGCTTATTTCTTTGGATCAGATTAAACAGGTCTCTATATCACTGGAAATGTGTGTATTCAGCCGTACTGCTTCAATCGTGGTAAGTGCCACAGTATGGTAGTTTTGTCCAGTATTTTGAGTAGTGCAACCTTCCTATTTGGAATAATGAGGTATCTTCTGAAGTATATTTGTGAATGAGTGTGTCTTAATGTGTTTGCAGACTGGGTGGGAAAAAAGGAAGCCTGAGAGCTGAAAAACTGCAACCAATACTCTAAAGATTTAATTATTGCTGCTCTGGTCTTGCAGCACAATATTTGCTGAATCATTAGATTGTTACATTCGCTGATCATTTCATATCTTCATATTAAAAATCTTGGCGATTGTAGTAGAGTGTGTAGCAGCTTTCCAAAAGAGCTGACACACACAAAAATACATTTTCTTAGACCAAGGCTCACTAAGAATCTCCTTAAGAAATAGGAGAGTAGGTAAAGAATTTCTCTCTTGATGCCTTGATACCCTAAACCAACGGCCCAGTTTCTAAATAATGTTATTTTTTTTTTTCTATTAACTTCAAACATCTTCCATATGGAGGTCCATTTTCTCTGATTTCTTTCATGAGTTGTGAGGAAGGACTGTGCACATTGTAATCATTGGGACGTATCCCTGTTGGGGATATTTTGATGTAATAATGTGAGTTTTATTTTCTTCTGGGGAAAACATGTTTTGGGTGGAGTGTATGGTTGGCTGAGAGCTTATAAGCCACTTTTGAGAAAGGTTATTTTTTCTTAGACTGAAAGGGTGAATCAGAGCCTCATGCCTGGCCCCATGTCTTGAAAGGTAAGGGGTTGGAGTTGTTGGTGGAGCAGCTGCCTCTGGGTGGCCAGCCGTGTGTGGGTGAGACCCACTACATATGCGGGTGAGACCCACTACGTCCAGTCCATTCTTCCCCCCCCCCCCCCCCAGGGAACTAGGCGTGGCTAGCAGCTGCCAAGCGCCTGGCGCCGCCACGGCGGCACTATGGCAACCGTGGAGCCCTGGAGGCGCTTGCCCCAGCCCCTCTTCCTGTAGGTGGTAGAAATCACTCTCATGGGCTCTATGCTGTCCTTACCCCTGCTCTCACTCCCTAAGTCCTCTGTCACCGTTTTTGGATCAGGAAGCAGCCCCCCGCAGGATATGACCCTTGCCGAGTCCCTTGCCACCTACTCCCGTCTTCTAGATGCGCAGCCTCTCCCTCCCTCCCTCCCCCCCCTCTCTCTCTGTCACACACACACACACTCACGCGCGCGCGCGCGCGCACACACACACACGCGCAGACAACTGTGCTCTCTTGCGAAGCAAGTCCGACATTTGGCACAATGACTCCTTTTTGGTGCCCAAGAAAACTTCCTGCAGTCATGCCCAGAAACGCCTATTCCTGAGCGCAACTCCCTTCCTTGTCCCACCCGTCTGGCCCGCGTGCCGGGGTGCATTCCCCAGCTTGCTCCTCAGCTGCTTCTTGGCAAACATGTCCCAGAGAATGTCTCCCCAGCACCAACCCCCCGGCGCTTTCCCGGGCTTTAAGGCAGCCTAGGGGCAGAAGAGGGCAGCGAGGTCCGCACCAACAGGGGCGCTGGGGCTACGCGCCTCTCAGCTTGCAGGACTGATGAGTTAATACCTACTAACTCTTTGGCGAGTTGATGACCTGAGGGTCAGCCCAGAGTCAGCTCCTCTCCTTGTTAGGGGGCGAGCGAGCGCGTTGCTTTGGGTCGTAGACATTTCCCCGCCTTCATCCAGCTTGACTTCTCAACGGCGACCAGTCAGCGGGCAAGCTGTCAGGGAATAAGGTAAATCTTGGACAGTGAGTTCCCCCGCTGCGGATCAGGTCAGGATCAGGTCAGACGTTCGGCCTGCTTTTTCAAGCGCAGAAACAGGGTCGCCCCTAGCTGGGCCTCTCTCCAGAGCTCCGGCTTTAGGGCTTTAGTGCGGGCGCTATGTAAATGAGGCACCTTTGTTTCTCCGCAGCTGAGTCCTGGCCTTGCAGCCGCTAGAGAGGGCGCAGGCAGCATCCTTCCATACTCCGGGGGCGTGGCCCCAATTCCACGGCCTCCCGACTGAACTGTGGCTCAGCAGTACTTGAACATTTCTTTTGTTTCTTTAGTCGCCCTTCTTTTCCGGGTCTACTCGACCACTGGTCCTGGGAAAGCTTGGGGAGTAGAAGCCGGCTCCAGACGGGACTCAGGGCCGGGCTAGCAATCCTTCTCGGAGTCTGGGGGCTTTGGCATCTTCAAGGAATCAATCCTTAAGCCACCACTTGTTTCTCATCTTCGATGTAAAGTTTTTCAAGTTCTTGTCGGAATTAGCATTTAGAACGCCAGGAGCGAAGACAGCAACACAAACTTTCTCCCAAACTCCTGAGCAGCTTCTCCAAGATAGTCCTTTCCGAGGATCTGAGCATGTGGTAGGCCACTTCTTCCCTTCAGATATTTCGACCTAGCTTTTCTATTAAGCATGCTAGTAAAAGCCTTTATTAAAAGATTTCCCCGGCAAGTCTCCCCTCCCCACCCTGACCCCGCTGAGATCTCCTTGGCACCAAGCACTGGCCACAGGTCTGTTGCACAACGCATACGTAGCCACCTTGCTGTGCACATGCTGAAGGTAAAGGAAACCAGCTCAGGGACAGCCCAAATAATAAAACCTACAGTCTGAGAGGGAATGGAAAGGGTTCCTATGGAAATCCCCCTATTTACTGGACGTCCCATGTGCTCCCAGATATAATAATTAGTAGCAGATGTACTACAACGACGAGGAGTGCGGGTGAATCGGTAGAGCTTAGAAGCCGCCACTCTCAACAAGTTCTTTTGAAAAGATTTTTCTTCCTTGGAGAAGTGAGGTGGGCGGGAGGAAGGAGTGGCCTTACATCTGGAATCAGGAAAACTGGCTCTTGGGAGGCTGGGATGGGGGAGTAATAGCGGCTACTGTCTGAAACAGATAAAGCCCGAACATCTGCTCAGCTGAGCTCTGGAAAGCAGGGGAGAGAAGTCTTTCCAAGAATCGCCAACACACGGCCACAATAAAAAAAAAAAAAAAATCTATTTTTCACATAAGTTCTCACTTATTCTTAAAGCTTCACAGAATAACTCTGATGTGATCCATCAACAGAGGCACACTCATTTCAGAAAACGACTTTGAAAAATGATCTTCTCGTCCTCTAGAAATAGCTCCCCTTCTGCACCCAGACACATGGAACTCAACACATTTTCTGCCTTTGTGAGGTTGTCTTTCAGCAGTGAACATGGATTTATATGTCAGTAGAAATTTCTTCACAGATGCTTTTTGCTTTTTAGTTTAATTCAAGTGATCATTGCAGTGTGTTCATTTCTTGAATTCTCAAATGACACTGTTTCAACATTTACTCATTACAAAAAAGTTAATGTGAATTACTCCCACACAAAGGAGGAACATGCCATGGACCAAACATGTGATATGTCAATGATTATCAGAGCCTTTTCAAGTCTATTCACCATTAAATAAAGTGTGG